GGTTTGGAGTCTGATAAGGGAAGTTGGTCGTGGTGGTGGTCGTTGGGCGCATGGGCCTCGCCGTTCGTGGCGTGTGCAGGGATGGATGTCGACGCAGGATCGGACATTGTGGAACCGGGATTCGGCCGGGGCGTTTGCGGCGGAGCCATGGAGAAGTGAGGACTTAGGAGGCTATGATAGCGATGGGTAGGGAGGACGAAGAGGGCGGGCTTCTCAGTCTCCTAGGATGTTCCGACCTAAGCACCATGCTAGGGAAGCGTTCCGGCGGGAAAAAGTCAGCAGGAGGGTACGGCGGAGATAGCCAGGTAAGAGATAGTAGCGAGGGTGTAGAACTCAAAGCTCACCGGACAGCGGTCGGGACGCAGGCTGAGGGAAAGTATTGGGGACGGAGGAAGGGACAAGGGGAGGCCCAAATCCAGGATGTCTGGTGAATCACACGAGGCAGGCGAAAATAGAGGCCGCGGGTGGAAAGCAGGCGCCCAGGTGAATTGGGGTGAATCCCAAGGGTCGACAAACGGGGAACGAGGGCGGAGAGGGGTGGAAAGGACCCGGGAACCGCACGACAAGAGGGGAGAGAGAGGGGGGGGGAGGATAGCGTTCAATCCCCCAACAATCGGGGGGAGATATGGAACAAGCGGGGAGGAGAAAGAGGAAGTGAAAAGGCGAGACGGATGACAGCGAGTGAATGCAGTAAACCGGAGATGGAGGGAGGGGATTCGGCGACACAGGCGCAGACACAGCGAAGATGATGGGGTTTGGATGGTGGACCTTGACGCCGGGCGTTGGGCTCTGGATGGTTGCCGTGCCGCTGGCCGCAACTGGATTAGCCGCCGCAAGCGAGGTTGCTCGCCTCAGTTCTCAGGCTGAATCTATCTAATTCTGCCTACATATAGGGTCAACTGTGTCTATTCTACATATATTCTACATATCGCATCATTTTGTGGAAGATTACCACCAACCAAATAACCTGGACTTTCAATCCCCCTTTATAAATAAAGTTCACACTTGTCAATCTGCCCACCAGAGAGATCTATGCAATCAAGCGCCCAACTTCAAGATCACCTGCCTAGCTTTAAGCGCCCCTTTTGCCAGCCACCCAACCAGTCAAACAGCCAAAAACAAACATGTATTATATTTAAAACTGAGCTTTAAATCCGAGAGGTCGATTCGTAGTATGCTCCAACCTCCCACTACGTACTACTAACGATACCTACCTCGGACTACCGTCGGAAGTTAACCTTTTAATATGACCGGGGTTTGGGCTATTATAGCGTTCCCTCATCTTCCTTCTTCCCAACTCTCTCCTGCGGGGTCACCAAAAAGCCAACCCCCCAAAAAAGAGGGGGTTTTTAATCTCATGATCGGCGCGCGCGCATTCCATCCTGACATGATCTGATGCTGTCAGCCCATCCGAAGTGGATTACACAGGTATCCCTGGATTGGGGTAAAATATGTTGATCGATTGAACATGCTTGTAGTTGTTGAAAGTGACATGCCCATATGGGCAGGTGACTACGCAGGTTAAACAGGTGTTCGTTTGGTTTTAGCATAGTTGGCATGGATGTCTCAGTGCGGAGTAATCTCCCCACTGACCGCCGGTGTCTCTAGTACTGTTGGTTAGCTTGGCATAAGATGGAAATCACACAATTGTGGGCGTTATTATTGCTGATTGCAAGGGTTCTCTTGTGTGTCGTTAGATTTTTATGAAGGGCAGTGTTTATTCTTGAGATTGTAAGGGACGTCGTGCCTTACTAGGTAGTCTGGATGTGAGGGGAAATGACCGTGTGAATTTCAAAAGTGTGATAGGTGCTATAGCCACTCACTGTAGGTTTAGAATGCCGAACTCAAACATTCGTAACTACGACTATCTATAAATGCTTTGAGACATACGAATCACTTTAAGTGAAACATTTACTAGGCAAAACTATCTGAGTCTATTGCAAACGTCTGTTCGAATTGGTCGTTCGGCTACAGAGTAGCGATCGAAATATAACCCAAAGTCAGAAAGCTGATGTATCTATAAACGATGATGTTGGATCCTGTGATCCTCCTGGACGACCTGTCTCGTAGTCAAATGCTGATCCGCACTGTTCCTCCGCAATGCCTGCTGGCTACTCCCGCAAAATACCCGCAATAGCACTCGTAGGAGCACAGCTCTGCATACGGTTAGAAGTCAAATGGAAGACTGAGAAGCTCCAGAGCATGTCATACACGCCACATCAACATCGACTAACCCAAAATAGATCTCCGACCATACGAGGGCGCTCACGACTGTCACCGAACCGAGACACGGCACGGCATTTGACGGCCTGTGGGGTCATAGCCAGCGTCTTTCCTGTCCCCTGAACACTGGTGCTCCTGTCTCGGTCCAGAAGCTATTGGTGGACCTTTAGTCTCAAAAGTGTTCCGGAGATTGGCAGGCCAGACGTCATCCATGTTAATCATCTGTGCGTTATATGGCCTATTAGTCGATGCGAAACGTCTGGAAACCGTGGAAATATCATAGCGCCATTGCTGCCCGCAAACGTTGAATGAAATTGTTTGTCAGGTCGCAGTCAGGAGCTCTGCCTCGCGCATACCGAGTTCTGTTCGGTCGCCGGAAAAGTCATACTCATCACCGCTGCTACTGTCATCCTCTTCAGTGAATGTCGCAGAGATCAGGTCGGCATACAGGGACTCGGTTGGCTTCCTCATGACCGTCCCTTTAGGTGTCCGGAAAAACCCGAGCTGCGGTGGGCACAAAACAATCCGGGATCGCTGGATTTGTGCGTGCTCGGAGGCTAGAGAATTGGCTTCGACGACAGATGGCCAAATGGCGTCCAGTAGCTCATCTCTACTCATTTCTTGATAGGAGCTTTGCCTGGCTTCAATGAGAAGCACTGGTTCGGGACGACCATTTCCCACAATCAAAGCCCCTGTAACATGAGGATCTCCTCTCAGGATAGTCTCCATGGGAATAGGCCACACTTTGAGCTTATTCTCCAGCACGATAATATCTTCGGTGCGCGAATGGAAGTGCCACAAACCAGCTTTGGTGGGATGAGGCTTGAATAGATCTTTAGTGCGCCACGTGTGTACCTTGGGATAATTATGAGCAAGGGATAGATATGGCCGTGAGCTCTCGGTTGGGTGCAGAACCAGCTCATAGACATCATCACCCACAGCCTCCATCTCAATTTCCGGCAGATTGTTGAACTCGATATATTGCCACTCTCCTGGCTGGGGATTGAGCGCCTGGATGTGGCATGTCTCAATAGAGCCATACATCTGGCGTATATCTGTTACCTCACTGAGCTTATTCCCGACACTAGGTGCCAACGCCGCTCCACCACAAAGGATGAAATCAAGCCGTCGTGCCTGGTCATAAGCATCTGGCTCAAGCACCCACTGCTCCACCAGAAATGGGGGAACATAGATGGCTCGTATCTGCGGCTGTTGTTTCATGATCGAGCTCAGCAGGGCCCCGCTTGGTGGGACAGTAAGAGGACCCATGACAAAAGCAGCCGTACGTGAGATGAGAGGCAAAAGGGTGAAGGCATGGAGGCCAGCGAGCTGTTCATCCATGAGCTCAAGAACACGAAGAACGCATAGAGTTACTTACGTGGTGAGGCGGAAAAGGGGAGTAATAGCGTCCTGGTGGAGAGAAATTGAATTGATCTGCATTCTGCGCACGACGTCCCTCTGGGACAGACATAGATGCATCATTGTCAGCGCAGGCGAGAGTGCCGTGGGTGTATTGGACCGGTTTTGGCTGGCCTGTCGTGCCGGAAGTGTGCAGAATCAGACAACGCTTGTTCTGGAATTCTTCAAAAGAGGCATTCCAATGAAATGGAGGGGACTTGGACTTGAAGAGCTCGGCCAGTGTTGGCACCGGCAAAGATTGCATGAAGGGGTCGAATTGCTGAAGACTTTCTGCTGCCGAGCACATGACGTCCGCATAGAGAAGTCCATAGACGTTTGCTTCCTGTAAAAGGCCCAAATTCTGGATGGGAGTGTTTTGAGGAGAGACGAACATTGCCTGTCTCATGAGTCAGTATCAATTACTATTTCTAGAAAGAATAGACACATACATTCCACCCGCACTTCATGAGCGCCAGCAGCAAAATGGGGTAGCGGAGGTCAGGAGGGCCAATGTAGGCCAGTGTTGTCTTTTTGGGCACTCCGTCAAAAGCGCGGTCAAGCCACCAAGCCATATGATCTACTGCCGTCGCCATCTTTTTCACGCTTATGTCTTTGTAACCATCCATGACGCTCTTCGTCTTGGGAATAGCAGCGAATACACGATTGGGTTCGTCATGGGCGTAGTAATCGAGAATGTCAGGAAGCAGCCGATGTCCTCTAAACTTTTCCCCGCCCCGAACCCACGACTCCGTGCCGTTACAAGCAGCCATTTTAAAATATGGTAAAGACCGCCTAGTTCTCTAGTAGTTGGAATCTGAGAAGACCTGCCGATCCCCAAGGCCGTGTTCGAAAATGAGGTTGTTGTCGCTTAGGATATGACTGCCCGGGGGAAATTGGCCGTGGCGGGCTATTTCAAACTCTTGTGGTGGGTAGGCAGTCAGTCAGTAAACCAAGTGCAAAGGACCTTAGCCCAAGCAAATGCCACAGACTGGATGCGACTAAGCACGTTTTCACCCCTCGTGGGAATCCATCAACCTGCGTGTCTAGGTCTGCGCTAAATTGGTGTTTCGTTCAATGATAGTTGGGCGACCCGTGCCTGCAACATGCATGATTAATTAGCCCGTGGGCCGCATCAGGAACCTCCGTGAAGAAGGAGGAAACTAAGAGGAAGACTGCCGTACTGTAAGTGTAATCGGCTGAACGGACCGGAGGAAGGTTCAGTTAATTGTAACTACTAACTGACTAGCAAGCACACTGAGAGTGGGCTCTTGCTCGGAAATGGCCGCTGTCCCGCGCCACGACGACTGGCGGGCCGCTGGCACTTGTACCAACCAGTCTAGTAGTAGTTCATACGCTCTTTTCGTTTGGTGCCCACCCTCCAAAATTGTGCGCTCGTTGATGGTGGCCAGGTTTAACCTAAAACCAGCTTATCGTATGACACGGACATACAAAGGCGCAAACACCCCTTTCATCTACTGCACTGCACCATGTGGCGCCTGGATGGCCATGAGGTGCTCCGCAGTTGTCTCGACTATTTGGTTAGCGGGATGATAGAAGCACTAGGGAATGCCGATCAGCCTGGCCCAAGTGTGCGCCCCGTGGAATTGAAGGCTGCTCCACAATTGCATCTGCGATTGTCGTTTCCAGATCAATTCCGCTCCGGTGTATCTTACCCAGAAGTTGGCATGTTCCGGCGGCCGGCCCAGATGGAATTTGCGATTGACGTCTTGACGGGCCGGCTCACCATGGTTGAAGGGTGGAGGCTAGAATTTGCGGGAACATCATTGATCGAACCCCAATTGCAGGATTCTTCCAAGAGCCGATACAGGAAATCCTGGGAGACTAATGACTTCATTGACCGGCCACTCCCTTCCTGAAGCGTCAGGCAAAGTCTCAATTTTGATGTTTCGTGTCCGTCGGTTTTAATGAACCGCGCTTCGAAATTAGCGGTGACGGTTACAGTAGATGCCGAAGGAAGCGAGGTCAGAGATAGATGGTCCCCATAGATCCGTAGAGACCATCCGCCGAGACCATCATTGGGTACGGATAGTAAATGCGCACTCCGGGCCCAGTTCGCTCGATGCTTTGATTCGCAGAACGGTTAATGGCGCATCCTCGCGCGCCCCAAATTAATCGACGGCGTCCGGAGAAAACGCCCAACCCAAAATTCATGGTCAAAGGATGGTCCTAGTATTAAGCATTTCACTGCTAACGGCTGCCAAAAGCCGTATTTGATCTTGAGATGGGTGACGGCCAGAGCTTGTTGCTGAGCTTTTCGAGCAGATGTAGATCAGCACTATATGAAGGGTCCAGCCACAATGAGCAGGTACCAACGAAGCATCTGTTATAGCGGGCGTATCTCCTCCGATCCTATATGTTATGCATCGCAGGCTCGTCGTCAATAGTGGACTCACAGCCGATGCCTGAAAGCTAGAGACCCTGTTGAGAAGAAAGCATTAGACCTGCTATACCAAACCGAGGAGCACTGTCAAACCTCTGGCAGATTATTCTATCGAGCAAGCAATAATCTAGAGGTTCGTCAGAGGGCAGTTGATTCGAATGATAGCCCACAGGCACATCTTGAGTGTCTGAAGCATGCGTCGGTTTGTCGAGAAACGGCCTCCGTCCATTCGGTCCGTGGTCGCATATTGCGAGTCGGGCAGATAACAATTGAGAGAGACAACAAGAGATGAGACGCTTCTAAGACGATCAGAGACCCACGGCGATCTTGTTAGTTTGATTAGCAGTCACCGGACGAAGACGCATGTCCCTATTAGAGGGGTTTAGTGTTCAACGTCGGGAGCATGGATTGAATGGTTCAGCTTTCAATTCGATTCAGAGAGCAATTCCCAACTGGCTGTTAGGTGACTTGCTGAGAGTCAGACGCACGAATTTGAAGAGGGGTATGCAGAGAATTTTCCTTTGTATAAGCCGGGCGCGCTCATCTTCGGCTCTTGACACTAGAATTGCCTAATTATGCAAGAGAGCTGCGCCGCAAGCTGAACTGCAACCGAATGCGACTATCGTACGCTAGTGAGAGGTCCAAACCACGACATGGATTTCTAGTAGGGTCGTGAAAGTGTGATAGCAGAAGATAGTAATACAGTCAGTGAGGAGATGAAAGCGGTTTAAGTAAAAAGTTGATCTCTACTTAGGATGTGTTTACAACTCATGATGGGTGATTTCGGGGTTTTCTTTGTCCTAATACGCCTCAGTCCCCCCGCCGCCCCGTTGAATATAAATAGCATCAGGCCCACTGGGATAGATGATGCTTTTGGTATCCCTATATTTACTACCGAGTTATGAGTGTATATAATCAGCAAATATGCCCAGTTCAATAAGTTGATGTGCACTGTCCAGAGTTTGCTTGGACCATTGACCAGGTTTTCAAGCCTCGACGCAATATCCAACCGGAGCTTGCTGATACTGCAACTTGTGCCTAGCCAAAAATAAGATTCTTTATGTACTGCCCAATCTTGCTCCTTATTCCGGTATCTGCCTCATAACCAACAGCCGCCCTTGCCCGATCTTCTTCATCAAAAGCAGCCGCCGCCGAGAAGTCCATTTCTGACGGCCGTACCAGCTTGGAGCGATAGTAGATCTAAATGAACGGTCAACGTATTTTACTAAGGCTTTTCGATGATCATAACTCACCTTGTAGCCGAAGTAATCTAGGAAGAATAGAGGCGCCGCAATGTAGGATGAAAACCAACTCTTTGCAGACCCCTTCTCGCCGAAAGGGAAGCACGCTAGATAAAATTCGCATCCTGCGATGAAGAGGACCACAACGAGGCCAAGATACTGGGCATAGGGAGCTATTCGGTCTCGGAAAGGCAGTGTCTTCTTGTCAATTCCCTGCGCAGCAAGACCTTGTCGGAATCGGATGTGGGAGATGAAGATTCCAGACCATTGGAATAAGGCAGATACAGATACCTGTGGGATGTCAGTATAGGATATCGACGATCACAAATAAGTGATATACTAACCAGAGATGAGAACCAGCCGTAAACGGTAGCTCCGGTGTCGCTACAATTGAGGTAGCATAAAGCCCCTCCTATAGTGAGGCTGAGGGCTAGAGAGACGTAGGGCCTTCCGACAGTGTCTTTGCGGCCGAAGAAAGGATGCACAATGGCCATATCAGACAAGGCTGCAAGACTGCGGCTGGCGACGTAGGCACTGGTGATGCCACAGCTAATCACTGTCAAGAATATGAAGCCGTTTATGATGTGTGCTAGCCACATCACGCCTGCACGCTCAATGGCAATGACGAACGGGCTCCCTAATGTGCCACTTCCATTGATGAGGTTTTCATCGTCGTAAGGAACACACATTCCCACGAGCCAAATATTGACCACGAAGAACGAGAACATGCGCCAAAACACGGGGTACACAGTTCTCTTGATGGTCCGGCGGGGGTCCTTGGCTTCTCCAGCAATGACTGCGATATGCTCTCCGCCACCGAAACTGAACAGCGCTTGGACAAACGCCTTAGAGATCCCTTTGATGCCATTGTTGAATGCGCCGGGATTGCGCCAGTAGCGAAATTCGATTGGGCCATGTGTGGCCGGGATACCGCCCGAAGTCATGATGAACATGAAGAAAATCATGACAAATATGGCTAGAATCTTGACGAAAGACATGATATACTCAACATGACCGTATATCCGGACACCGAAACAATTGGCTGCGGCAATGACTACCAGGAAGATAGTGATATACGCTGCAAGTGGGACAACCTCTGTTGCTGGCCAGAATTCAAGCACAGAAACAGCTGCAGTTATTTCGGCAGGAATACAAATTACCCACTGCCAGTAACGATCAGTCGCCCATACATCGTCTTGATTTGGCCGATCTACCTACCGAGAACCAGAAGTTGACGCCGACTGCGAATCCAAATGCAGGCTCCACGTATTCAATGCATTGTCTGATAAAGCCTCCATGGACCGGCTTAAAGGTCGTCATTTCACCGATAGAGGTGTACTGCAAGTACACTATGAATCTAATAATGATAGGTTAGCATGTCAGCAAATCCGCAGCTGTAGCGCAGCTTGACAGACTTACGCAGTGATGGTGTACGCAACGGCGATGCCACCAGGGCCAGCTACATGCTGCAATTAGTCGCAAGAGTCTTTGCCGCTTCGCTCAGGGAAGCCTCACCATACTTCAGTGCAGTACCTGTACCGACCCATCTAGATGATAATGTCAATTAAAGTGAGCCAGCAGCATATAGGGTTCGTCGTACAAGCCAGTTCCCACACCAGCGCCAAAGGTCATCATCATAATCTGACGACTACCGAGCGACCGGTGGTAACCAACATCCTCGTTCGCTCCTAAGAGCTCACTGTCTCCCTTGGCAACATCTGTCTTTTCAAGGTCGGTGTCGACAACGGTGTCTTTGACATCCACTTTCTTCGTCATCGTAACGGTAGCTTACTCCACTGACTACATGAGCATCGGAGAGAGGGCCTATAGCGGCATTTTATATGTTAATTTCGATGAGTATCACAAAAGGTATGATAAGTGTCATTGGCCATTATGGCCGTCGTATCTGAAAAGCGGCAGCGAAATGGAGACATTGCGTCCGAGATAAGCTAGGTTGGAGCTTTGATAGCGACTCGCGGTGTTAACAGCCAGTTGGAGATAATAGTACGGAATAGTCCGAGTCTTTCCCCATTTCTGTATGAGGAAAAGCTGGAGTTTACTAGAAACAAAAGTGGGGTTGATGATCATCTGTTCTGTATGAACCCTGTCTCCTAGTTTGGAGTCAGGTGTATAAGAAGGTAGACCAAAGGCTTAGGCAAGTCGAACGAAAGCTAAATTCTCAGTCACTCTCCCAGTCCTTCTCATTTGATCCCTACGATATATCAGCACCAGCACCAGCACCAGCACCATGACCGGCAGTAAGAATGTGGTGTTCGACATTGTCGGCACACTGGTCTCCTACGACGTCCTTTTCGATGCGATCGACACGCGACTGGGCGACCGTCTCCGTGCGGAGGGGATCAAACCTTCCTTGTTAGGATACACCTGGATCGAGGTCGCAGAGCGCGAGTACACATATCTGAGCTTGTCAGGCCAATATAAGACATTCGCTACTTGTCTGGAATTGCTCTTCTGGCGAATGCTCAAGATGGCGGGCATCCAAGACCCGCGAAGCTTTGCCCCAAAGAGCGATCTTGAGTTCATCATGAGTAGGTATGCCAAACTTGGACTCCGTCCAGGAGCGGCCGAGTGCGTCACTAAGTTGCGTGATGCTGGGTTCACTGTCTGGGCGCTCACAGCGGGGGACGCCGCGAGAGTGGGGGGTTATTTCGCCAACGCTGGACTTGAATGGCCCGCAGAGAATCTGAAATCCTGTGACTCTCAGGGAATAGGCAAGCCAGACTTGCGTGTGTACCAACCGCTCCTCGAGCAGCTGTCCCAGCACGGTCAACCCTGGTTTGCTGCTGGACATATGTGGGACGTTTCGGCGGCTCGCCGTGCGGGGTGAGTACAGATGCACTAAAGATGCGTTATCGCGGTGGATACAGGACTAAGCTCACACATGACATATAGGTATAAAGGAGCGTACTGCACCATCTGGGAAAAGGAGCCAATTGTGGAATTATTTGGAGAGATGGACGTCATGGCAGACACTCTGCCAGCGATGGCTGACAAGATAATTGCTGCGGAAAATAAGTGAGAAGGGAGAAGTTGACGGCCGAGAGGCAGGCATATCGGCACTAGCTCGGTCACTAGACACTACTAGTCTGGGGATCGTGTCAGCTACTGATAGATATGATACGTAGCCAGTGCAGTACTTCCTTTCTAAAGAATAGCACATGGGGCATATCTTGCAGATCCATTTCGTTGCTGATAATGCTCCAAATAATTGTTATCTTCCACACAGACCTACTCACTATTGGAAACAGACATCTCGCTGGATCTACTGTTATCTGCCCTTCTGATGCATTCCCTTCCACTCCTGTCTGGGATACCATCCCACCGTCTTCTCCGACTTTTCGGTAAACTGTTCATCTTGCAAAATGTCCTTCGCGGTAAACCGATCCCTCGGGTCAAGCTTCATAACCCTAAGAACAAATGCCTTGTCTGCATCACAGATCTCCCTTTCACGCAGGAACCGTGACGGCTTCAGGTTTTCAGGCGGGATTACAGACATGATGCGCACAATACTCTCTTGTGTCTCCTGATCGCAAATAATTTTGTAAAAGACAGGGAAGCGTCCAAACCACAGGTGATGCAGCACGAGGATCTTGACATCGTACAACTTGTGGCTTTCTAGTACATCCGGCTCAAAGATGTAGAAATTGAAGTCAACTAATCGTCACTTCAAAACTCCAGATGTCTGCAGCAGTGCCCCATGGAATCTCTGGATGAACTTCAGGGGCTCGAAAAAAAAGGCCGTCTCCATGCAACACTTGCAAAGCTACAAGCACATTCTTGGCCACTTACTTGATTTCTTGCCTGGTGAGCCTTTGCTTCCTAGACGCCCGTGCCATGTCGTGATCAAGGTACTTCAGAATGATAGCCGGAGGCTCTGCTGGATCATGTGTTTAATCCAGGACGGGGCGCAGGCTCAGACAGCGACTCTGAAGCGATTGAGGACGTCACGTAATCTGCTGGGTGACTATAGACACCTGCTCTACCGATGAGGTGTTGCCCACAGAAAATAGAGACTTGGCTGGCATTGTACGTTTCCTTGGACCGCACCAAGGGAGTAGGAATCAACATGGGAGCCCGTGGCATTCAAACCCCCGCCAAGGTTATAAGCAGTTCATGTAATAGGCTGGTACTGTTTATTACAAGCAATCTCACAAGTAAACAGAAGGAGGTTTCCAGAATTGAATTATGCAGTAATAGAAGGAATATGCCCTGAAGCCGCATTAGACTTATCGCTGGGAGAGACCACGAATCTGATAAGCGTCAATACGAGGGACCCATGTGCTGCTAAGCCTATCATGAAATGTTCGAGTCATGTCTCCACCCGACAGAATATACCTACAAACGCCTGTGTATTCTTACTTCATCATTTGCCCAACTGAGATGCTTCTAGCCATCAGTGGATGATACCCACAAAAAAAACACTAGCCAATGGATACCATCCCCATGAATTTGTCCTACAAGGTGTCGCAGGGAAAGTGGCCTAATGGGCGGGGTTAGGGCCAGCAAGAACACCATCACATGTCAGTTGGCTGCTCTTCGCCAATCACTGCTACTTTGTACTATTCTCTCATAAGCTGACAGACTCAGTAGGCCGCGCATACACAATAACAACTCATTTGTCACCCACGAATCACACCCACTTATTCTATCTCGATCATGTCGATGTTCAAAACAAGAAAGAGATCGCTACTGCTTTGGGTCAGGTACATACATGATGGATGGCGGATGAGCCACAGGAACAATCGTCACTTTTTGGTCTCGGGTATCAGTCTAAACCTATTTGGGCAGCTCTCTCCATGGCCTCCCCCGGTCTCCGCGGGGGCTAAACCCGATACTATCAGGTACTGATTTGGAGATTGAAGTATAAGACGAGCGATGGCTGACCGGCCTCATCAGCAATCCACTTTCGATCCAAGCACTTCTCCAAGCATTTTACAAATATGCCTGCTGTACAGAAGGTGAGGCTACTCTCGTCAGCTATATGATCTAGCTAACATGCCTATTCAGGCCATCATCATCGGTGCAGGTCCCGCCGGCCTGGCTGCCGCCCTCCAACTGCACCGTAACAACAATATCGCCATTACCGTATACGAGTTACGCTCGGAGCCAACCACCATAGGCGGTGCTATAGGTCTATTCCCAAATGGAATGCGCTTGGTCCATCGACTAGGGCTGCATGATGAAGTTGTCGCCCGCGGATTTTCCGTCGCCGACATGGAGATGCACTCTCTGCCAAACGGTGACATTGCCAAGGTCGACGTATGTCGCTGGGCAAGTCAGAAAACTGGCTTCGGATATTTGCGTATTCGTCGCAAAGACCTTCAGAGTGTTTTCCTTGATGCCGTTGCAAAAGACCAAATACCTGTGCACTACAACAAGCGCATTGTCTCCGTCACCGAGTCGCCCACAGATGTCACCGTGACCTTTTCCGACGGTTCAACTGATACAGCTGATATCCTGCTCGGATGCGATGGACTTCACTCTAGTGTCCGTCGACTGCATGTCGACCCGTCCATTGTGCCCGAATACTCCGGTATCGCGGGAACGCAGTCCGTCATTGACTGCACAGGCCTTCCGGAGGAGCTGAGTACGCATGCGAACGCTTTCTTCACCCGCACTGGTATTTTGGCCATGATGCCGTGCTCTCCGTCTGGCGATAAGCTCTTCTGGTTCTTCTCCCGGGAAACTCCCATCCCTCACTCGGAGTCTGGCAATGCGCGAGACGGGTGGGAGGAGCGACGTCAAAAAGAGGTTGCAGAGTACAAGGACACCATCCTGAAGATCATCGGAGAAGGCAAGGGTAAATGGCCGGAGGCATTGACGGAGATGGTGAATCGGACGGACGTCGTTGGGTTTTATCCTATCTTCCGCCTCCCGCTGGGCGGGAAGTACCATACATCTCGAACGGTGCTGCTCGGAGATGCAGCGCATGCGATGCAGCCTCATGCGGGCCAAGGAGTGTCCATGGCATTGGAAGATGTGTTTCTGCTATCGCGGTTACTGAAAGACGATCAGCGGAGCTTGGAAGATGCATTTGCCAAATACGAGGCGATCCGCAAACCGCGCATCACGGGGATATACAATTTGGCTGCCAAGAACGGAGAGAAGCGAAAAGATGTCAGTCCGTGGGGGTTGTGGGTGAAGGAGTATATGGCGTGGGCTGCTTATGGACTATATAACCGATTAGGGTTGGAAGCTTGGGGAATTGGTCAGAAGCATTTGGTCTATGATATTGATGAGGTGAAGGTCTGATTGATTCGGACTGGCACATCTTGTTTTTTTTTTTTTTCTCTCTCTCTCTTTTTTACCTTTCTTATTGTGGATATTATCGGAGGGGTTCGGACTCTCTAATCATTTTTGTACCTTAATGCGGCGCTAATAGCGATGTCTCGGAAGCATTTATCATGTTTGGAACTTCATTCACCGGGAAGCTCTATGAGTGGTCTATTTCAAGCCTAGAATATACGCACGGTGCCGGGGTATAATGTGTCGTATTATCCATGTCCTAGGGGGTGTAGAAAGCGCAAACATAAGCTGGCCAGGAATGAATGTAGTAGGATGTCATGTCATGCATTGACTTGAGACGAGGACAGCCCTGCTCGGTGCTCAGCCATAGTATGATGGAGCTCAACCCCTGAAGTGGCTGTACTGCGTAAACTGTAAAGGGGATCGGAGGACTACTGGTGCCAGGATTTAGGGCGCCGTAACTAGTTCCGAATCTACTACTACTACTCGTGCATTCTCAGCTCGAGAGGTAGACGGGAAACGAGGAACTGATTCAAAAAACTTAGGAAGGTGGGAGAAAAACTGTTGAAATCTGTTGAAAGTTTAGCAGTAGTATCTAGTCAGTAGTTAGCGATTATCCAGTGGAGCCCAAAGAGGTGCATTTTTGTGTGTGTAAGTTTGATCAACAACGGGTTTGACTGGGTCAGGGCAAGAGGGAAAAAAAAATTATTTAAACAAAAAAGAAACATCCCACCATCCCCTCCACCACGAGGATGACTGGGGAAAATAGAAATAGAAAAAAAGAAAAGAGAGAAAAACGGGAAACCGGACTTGCCCATTCATCGGCATCCCCTCCCTGCCAGAGCCATCCGGGGGGCTATAAATATACTTAGTAACTGCCATGAAATGGATCAATGGTCCAATGGTAAGCAGCAGTGCCAGGCCCCTTGGTCCCGGCGTGATCCCCCTCTCTTTTCTGGACCAACGCGCTCTCTCTCTCTCTCTCTCTCCACCCTCATAATAGTAACAGCGACTATCGCGAAATAACCACCGTCTAGCCTGCAACGTCTGAGACAAATCTCTAACCTTAGTAACAAGCGGCCGTGCGGTGACGATTCTTCAGCTGGGCCATCACTGGGTCGATCCCTCCTTCTCTTTGATTACTATGGGGGAGTCGTTTAGCTGCCAGTGGGATTGGTTGGTTTAGCTGGGATGATGCTGGGCGTCCATTTGATGCTATTTGTGCCCATTCAGTCAGCGTGGTGGGAGGCTGTACTGATTCATGTATATATATGGAGTGAGATGCCTGGATTGTGAGGGTACAAGGGTGCATCTATTCTAATTTCTAATACTCCTTCATATTATCATCATTATCATAATCATCATCAAGAACATTACCAGCTTCCTTCCTTTCCTGCCTCGTCATCTCCTCTATATCAAGTGCTGTTATAGTGAAGCTAAGGTTACTACTCAAGTTACTTCCCGTCGACTTCACCACGGTTGAGTTTATTCGTATTTTGAAGGTGTGTATTTTTATCCGTTTAGTTTTTCCCCCCTTCAATCTTTCTTCTCTCGTTTCTTTCCCTTCCGGATCAGCGTCAGCCTCAACGCTCGACCGCCTTCCCGAAGGAACGAGACAAGTCTTTGCTGGGCCCCCCAAATCCACTTCTCCCAGATTATCATCCATCCATTCATTCCCCCGGCAAAGCTATCCACCCCCTCCCCATTTTCCCTGGCTTCCTCCTCATTCTTGTATTCTTTAATTTTTAGGGGGAGGGGCTTCATCAACTATTTTCCCAATTTTCTCCCCTCCTTCCCACAAATCGCATTTCATAAAACAACTTCCCACCGAATTCCTCTTACCTTAATCCTTGACCATTGTCCCGACCGCAGTTCTGGCCAGCCTTGTCTGCTGCTGCCTGATTCTTATTCCGTTCCGGGTTCCGCCAGGGCTCGTCAGCGCCCTCGCATTGCCTCGACCCATTCGTGCATTCTCGCTTCATCGATTCAGGGATCCGTGATCCCAAGCCGGTTGTGAAAAAAAATGGCTCAACAACAGACTGATAATGTGATGCGAAGGTATGTTCCCCGCCCTGTTGTCGTTCCTGGGTTCCCGGTGTGCACCTGAGGCCATCATGTTATCTACTGCCGATTTCTGGTTCCCGTTATCAGCCCACCCGCTGTCACTCGACCGGATTGCTCGTATAGAGGGGTGCGGGGGTGCAGCCAGCCCCAATGCATCATCCATGCCATGAACGAATGGGGCATTGAGCTGACCTGCATGTAGGAAGTTGGTGATCATCGGGGATGGTGCCTGCGGAAAGACCAGTCTGCTCAGCGTCTTCACCCTGGGCTATTTTCCAACCGTAAGTCAACCCTCTTCTCCAGTGCGCTGATCGATGGAGTTTCATTGGCTAACCGGTTTCTGATCTGTAGCACTATGTTCGTACCTATCACCTCCTTCGCTGACTACTTAGCATGCATCTGACTGTCGCGTGTCAACCAGGTCCCGACGGTGTTCGAGAATTACGTGACGGATTGCAGAGTGGATGGCCGTTCGGTTCAATTGGCACTATGGGATACTGCTGGTCAGGAAGATTACGAACGATTGCGTCCGCTCGCTTATTCCAAGGCGCATGTGATCCTTATCGGTTTCTCCGTGGACACGCCCGATTCGCTTGAGAACGTCAAACATAAGGTTGTCTGACCCATTTGTTACTGTTGGACTGCGCTGACTGGTTCTTGTAGTGGATTGAAGAAGCGAACGAACGATGTCCGGGTGTTCCTATTATCCTTGTCGGATTGAAGAAAGATCTGCGGGAAGATCCTTTGGCCGTCGAGGAGATGAGAAAGAAGTCGCTAAAGTTCGTGACGTCGAAAGAAGGAAGCGACATCTCAACGCAGATCGGAGCACGCAAGTATCTCGAGTGTTCCTCATTAACCGGCGAGGGCGTCGACGATGTATTCGAGGCGGCCACGCGTGCCGCGCTCCTGACGTTCGACAAGCGAAAAAGCTCATGCTGCATTGTGCTATAATGGGGAAATGACGACTTTGCGATAGATAACGTCGCCGACTCTGATGGTATTTCAGCGATTTGCATGCCAGCCATGATGGGTTCATTTGCTATGCGCTTCGAGCATGTTGCACTTGCAGTTGCCACGCGACACGCGTGAGCCGGTTTGAATTGAGTTTCGAAGAAAAGGGAGAGTGAAGGTGACGGATGTTGATCGATATATCTTGCATTTGCGGCGTTTGGGAGGGCCTCTTCTTTTGTGTTCGAATATCAAGTTTCGCATGTTGACATACCCTTGGTCTCCGGGGGGACACGCTTGGTGACATTCGTTCATTTGGTGTTTGCCTTCTTCAGAGTCTTCTTTGCCTGTTGTCAGTGTTGTTTGCCTTCTTCTGTGTCTTACTGTCACTAGCGGTTATACCTGTATTGAAATTGTATCCACCAGTCTATACTAACACTCTACACAGTAGTACACAGTATACAGTAGTGACCGAGAACAACCCATAATATAGTAACATAATATACAAACAGATAGACAGAAAACATACATGACAATAGTAATAATATAACAACAAGCCCTCAACTAACCACCCCCCCCTCTATTTTCTATCCTATTCCCAACCCCCTCCTCCATCACATTTCCCCTTCGAATCTCCTTCGGAAAAAAATCCCCTCCTCCTCCGGAGGAATTAATCTAATCCCTCTTCCACTCATGATTCCACCCCTCCCTGGCCGGCCCATCCGTCTGCAAACGGGCATACTCAATGGGCACCAAATCCCGAAACACACCCGTCTTAATCATACTCTTACGGAACAGTTTCCCGCCATCGCCCGCACCAGTACGCAGTTCCTCACAGGCGGCTTGCATCGCCTGCCACTGTCTCTGCAGCTCCAGCTCGTGCTTCCGCCGCTGCTGGCCCTGGTAGAGGTTCCATGCCCGGTGGATCGTCCAGTGTCGGAGGAAGCGGGTGCGCGAGAAGCGCAATGGGCGGGGAGTGAGCGGGTGGTGGAGGAAGTAGCGGATTAGTGCTATAGTAATTATTATTTTGTGGTTAGTTAAAGGTGTGGTTGGAATTGGGGTTGGGATTGGGAGAAGGGTAGTAGCGTACTGATTCTGCGGTCGCCGCGGAAACCGGACTCCTTTCGCTTTTGGAGCGTGGTGGTTGTGCTGAATTGGTTGGTTTGGTTTTGCAATTGGGATTGGGTTTGGCGGAGAGTGTTGGTGATGGTGTTGCTGGTGCTGGTGAGGGTTGGACGGGTCATGGGGATGCGGAAGACGGATGCCAGGGAGGCGAGGACGGGGGAGAGGGTGCGCATTTTGATTTTGATTTTTTTCCCCCCTTTCTTTCTTAGTTCTTCTCTCCGGTGATTTCTGGGTTGGGTGTTGGGTCGGGGGGGTAGGTGTTCTGAGAATGTTCGGAAGACAGACACTGCGCGCCGGAGCGGAAGTTTAGGTTGGATTTAGTTGGGTTGACTTACTGGGTTAGCCTGGTTGGCTTTGCCTGGTCGGTTGGTTATCTGCCGCGCGCTAAGTAAGCGCCGTTTCTGCCTTATTTACTACTTCGTGTATACTACAATCGATGCGCTGAATTACTTCTGGATAATGCTGATAATTACTGTTATTTAAATAATTCATACGAAGAGAAAAAAAAGGATATATTCACACTTTTACCAAGGCATCTGCATCGCTCGTCATCAATTGCAAAGAGGTCAAAACCAGCAAAGAGTGTATCTCAATCCATCAGCCTAAACGCCAGAAATGCTTCCATCATCCCTCTTCACTATCGATCAGCCTTCCCAGCCCGCTTCTTCGATCGATCGTAGTTCAACACCTTGCGGCGTCGGTGCGTCTGCGCCAATTTCCACCGACAATATAACACCAGTGCATCCTTCAACAGCACGAATGCACATCCTCCGACGACACTCCGGCCCCAGCGGGTCTGCAACAGTCCTGGTCGGGCTTTGCCCAACGTAGATGGCGTCGTCCATGAAGTAGGTAAAATGTACTTCAACAGCCCGCCCATCGACGCAGATATGGCGGGAAACGCAAGTGCTCCGAGGATGATATCTGCCAGACTACTTGTGTCGGCTACCAGCTCATCCCGTCGACCCAAGCCCAAGGGCTGGCCGTTTCCACCCTGGTTTTGCCCCTGTCCACCCTGCGCATTTCCTCCGTTAAAGCCAAACAAGCCCTGCGGCCCGTCCTCATTGCCCATGCGTAGCTCCAAATCTATCTCCATCAGGACACCATTGTCATCATTAGGTGGGTCTGGCTCGGGATGTTCGGGCGGCGCATTATCGTCAAATTCATTGACATCCGAGCGCGGTTGTACTTCTGCAATCCATCTCCGCTCCAACTTGCCAAAAATTCTCTCGTAGACGCTGCCGTAAAAGCTTTTTAGGTATGGAAGAGCGGCGAACGTCACTGCCGCACTGGGCGGCCAAAGATCCAATTCCAGCTCCTGTCCCGGTTGATGTGTGGCAAAGAACATCACGGGGATGGCAGGAAGGAGACCATCTGCGTACCGGGTGCGCGAGAAGATCAACACGAGCGGGATGAGGGGCAACCCCAGGTTAAGCCCCGAGTTCCATGCTCCATCAGCCGTTTCCTCCAAAATCTGGCGAGCCTCATCCGTGCCGAAGACAAAATACATCGAGTATACTCCATGCGCACAGCACCCCGCCCACACAGTTGCTCCTAACGTAAAAACCATTCCTGGGAGGACCATCCGACCCGCGAGGCGCTCAACCAGTCTTACTATATCCACAATATAGCTTCGGGGACGAGAAACGATGATTTCGGTCTTGCATTGCGGACACAGCATCTTTGCGTCATGGCCGTTACGCCTCCGCGATCGGGGATTCTCGAGATCCGCCAACCAGTCGAGCAGGCACGCTTCGTGAGCGGTCAAGGCGCATGGACATGGCGAGCGCCATTGTGAATTAAGGGGAGAGTCCTCTGTCTCATCTGTATAGCAAATCCAACATCTGCGTGGTTCCTCACCGGACGTATCGGCGAGAGTCGGACTTGTCGGGGAGCCATGGGCGGTGGCGGTATCCGAGGTGCCGTTGAGCAGGACGGTATCGCTAGCTTCAAACGATTCTGTCGATGAAGCGCTGCTGGTTATATTCGTGGAAAGGCTATTCTGTTGGGTAGTGGAGGTAGTATTATTATCAGATGACTGTGGTCGGCTAGAGGCCGAATAACCTGGGAGGGAGGCCATGATGTGGGAGACACAAGAGGGGTGGATACAACAGTAGTAGAGGAGTGGACGGGGAGTTACGGAAACAAGTACTGCATCATGTGTGGAGAGGGAGGTTAGTCAAGTTGCGTCAGTCACCAGATGGTGGGAGAGAGAAAGAAAGAGAGAGAACTGGAGGCGAGAACGGAGGGGAGAGAGAGTTGAGAGTTGAGAGTCACAGCCCTATTAGGCAGCTCCGACATCTGCACTCTGCCCCAGCAGAAGCAGCAGAGCAGAAGCAAATAACTCAGTCAGTCAGCAACCCAGTCGACCCAGGCTCTCAGTACCAGGCTTAATTAGTGAGATACTCCGTACTACCTTTCCCACTTCCCAGCCCCCGCTAGTGACCTTCGGATGTGAACCGCGGCTGTTCGGCGGCGAAACATAAAGGCGCGCATTCCGCGGACCCCAATTGTTCGACCCTCACGTGATGCCTAGTCGATCACCTCACTTTGCGCCATCATGGCGGATGCAGTAATCTGGATGACTTGTAGATAGTAGATAAACTAGCTGCTCACTAGCCACTTAGCATACTCTACGTCGCTGCTCCAGTCAGCACTAATAATCGCGTCATCCAGGAACACTCATCCCTTTTCAATGCCTCATGATAGTATTTCCAAGGTCATACAAAAGATTACAGCAACATAAGGATTATATACAGCTGGATTTCCCACAACAACATTTGAGGCAACTTTTGCGCGCAAGCCATAATGCAAACGGTGAAAATGGAAAAAGCAATAAAAGGGAAAGGAGGTCCAAGCCCAGCCAAAGGTCTTTTCAGCTCAGGACCCCAGTACAGGACCGAGTGGAGCTACTATAGAGTGCTCTCCACGGTCCTGCACCATGCTAGTTCAGGGTTCTCTGGTCGAAGTAGACCGCTGCAGCTTGTCTCCGGGGCGCAGACCGGCACCCGCTAGCGTTTTAGAACCTGCCAGAAACGCCATGGATATCAAGAGATCAGGAATGGGTGGGCACTTTTGCAGCTTTCAAATAACAGGCATGGCAACTCATCGCTAGCATCCGCGGCTCACTTAGAAACCGGGAACTTTCCGCTTCTTCATCAGAGCCTTACGCTCCTTCTCCTTGGCTGTATTGCAAGAATTATATTAGCATTCATTCACTCAATCCGAACAATCATTGCGCATACCTTCGTCATAAACAAGGAACTCGTGCAGGGCACAGCCAGCGGGCACCATGGGGAGCACAGGCACCTTGCGATCAGTGAACACTTCCAGAAGCGCAGGGCCGTCCTGCTCGATCAGCCACTTCAGCTTCTCCTCAACCTCCGAGGGCTTGGTGCAGCGGTCCGCGGCAACACCCATGGCCTGGGCCATCGGGACAAAGTCGGGGTTCTTCTGGTGAGTGTGCGAGTAGCGGTCCTCGTAGAACAGGTTCTGCCATTGCGTCACCATACCCTGTTCCTCGTTGTTCAGGAGGAGAACCTTGACACCAATGTTGAACTGAGCAGCAGTGGTGAGCTCGGTCAGGGTCATGTTGAACGAGGCATCACCGTCGATATCGACGACAAGAGCGTCAGGGCGAGCAACCTTGGCACCGATAGCAGCGGGGAGACCGTATCCCATAGTTCCAAGACCACCAGAGGTGATCATGGTACGGGGGTGGCGCCAGCGGAAGTGCTGAGCAGCCCACATCTGGTGCTGACCGACACCGGTAGTGATGACAGTACGGTCCTTCATGTGAGCAGTGAGATCGCTGAGTTTCTCAATGACAGCCTGGGGCTTGATGGGTCCCTCAGCAGACTCCTTCTCATAGAGGGAGAAGGGGAACCGAGCCTTCCAGTCGTTGATCTGGTCGAACCACTCCTTACGCTCAGCAACAGCCTCGACGTGGGGCAGGAGGAGACGGATGTTCTCAGCACAGTCACCCTCAACAGCCTCGTTGGCCTGGACAACCTTGTTGATGTTCTTGGGCATGATTTCGAAGTGGACGATACCACCACGGTTCTCCGAGGCAGCAAGCTTGGCCTGAGGGGCGAACTTGGAGATGTTTCCGGTCACACGGTCATCGAAGCGAGCACCGATGGCAATGATGAGATCAGCCTCCTGCATGGCCATGTTGGCGTAGGCAGATCCGTGCATGCCCAGCATGTGCAGGGCCTTGGGGTCCGTCTCGTCGAATCCACCCAGACCCTGGAGGGTCGTGGTGACCGGAATGCAAGCCTTGTCGGCCAGCTCCTTCAGGATCTGGGGGCCTTCAGGGCGAGCAAGGAGACCCTGACCCAC